TTTTGTAAACTCTATAGATTTGCAACACAAAGCTGCCTATCCAATTGGGAATATTCTAACAGTCTTAAGAGCCCACTCAAGCCTATTTACGTATCGTATGGCACATTCACTCAAGCCCTATTCTACTTCAAGTGTGGAATTAGAAATCACGAGCTTTGTTATCTGGAAGTTCCCATAATAATACACTCCACAACATTTCATTCAATACGCCTGTTTTCTGGTGTACCTAGAAGTGACTTAAATAACATGCACATTAGTGTGCGCCTTTGCCTCTGTATATGTAACTATTGATGGAAGTGACAATATATACCGAGTGTGCCTGTCTTTTGGGTTCATTGATCCGCCTCCCACTGCAGACTCAAAACTGAACGAAGATTTGCTCATGATCAGGTGTCAAGTTGAACAAGGAGCAAGCAGTGATTCAAGCCCTTTGTTGTTATAAAGCAGAATAACAATCTAGGAAGCCTGCCCAGGTTTCTCTCTATTCTATCTGATACCACATAAAATCAAGGCAGAGTTCATTTGTTATGCTTTCTTAGCATGGAGTAATCTAAATATCACATGAAAGGCAGCCGCCCAGAAATCACTTTGGCTAGAGATGGGTGGCATCTAAATTTAATAAATACATGAAACAAAATAAAAGTAAACAAGACATAGCTACAGGTGGTTGCATTTTTCTCCTATAAGAAAGACGGATTTCTCAGCCCAAGAAGCTCAGAAGGGCCACTTGTTTCTCCTTAAATGAAGCACAAAGGAAGAAGTTATTTTAATAACAGTTTGGTGGAGTTTTTTTTCCCCTAAAAGGGAAGAAATAAGCCAAAGCACAGATTCTTCCCTCCCCAATTCAGATTGATTCATTGCAAAGTCAATATCCATCAGCTGTTGGAAATTAAAGGGAAGGTTTTATACATGCCTTATTGTACAGCAAGAGCTTTCTACTCAGCCAGATAAATCTTCTTTAAGAGGATTAGGAAACTTTCATTATCTTTATCTAACCTGAACTAACACTAAAGCTGAAAAATTAATCTATAGACTGGACAAAAGCCAATAGCAGTTGCTAAGAAGGCAGCCCTCTGGAGTTTCTTTCTAATTGAAGGGGGGAGAGGAGAAAATACTTAATTCTACTTAGCACTTGGGATGGTGGGGTAGAAAGTTGGGGGGGGGGAGGCATTAAGAAGGAGAAACGAGAACTTCTCCTGGACTAATGGACTAGAAAGCATGTAATTCCTTGTGAATTATTTATTTATCAAGTTATGGGGGGGTATGCATGCAGGTGAGTACATGTGTAAGTGTGTGTGCATGCAACATTTATATCTAAAGTAGGAAATGTATATCTCCTGTGTGGCTTTAAAGAAAGGAAAGCACAGGCCAATATTCATCTTTGCCACTACAGGTCAGCATTGAAAAAAAAGTAACTTATAACCATTTTAACAACTATTATTTATTAATTAAACAATAATCACCCTCTTAAAATACAACAATGTTCTCTTCTTCCCATATTTCATCTCTTCCCTATAAATGAATCCTTTAAACCAGTGTTTTTCAGCCTTGGCCACTTGAAGGTGATGACGTCATTACGTTATATGTTTCTTTTTTATTATTATTACTATATTCTTATTGTGTTTCTTCTCTACTTTGTCCTTTTTTTGCCTGCCCGTTTTAAGGTCCTTTTTCTTTGAGTTTGTATTATGTTTATTAAATGTGTGAATAGAAGCATTTTTTTTAAAAAAAAAGGAAAACAGCCTTTGAGTTTTCCCTTATCTTCACTTCTTCAGAAGATGGTCCACAAAATTATTCTCAGTGAAATCAAAGCTATCCTGGTAGTACAGAACACTTATAAAGGGCGCAGATCTCCTGTTAATTTAGCACTTAATTTTACATTCTTGAGCTCGGTCCTTCTTATTCTTTCCCAAATGCAACATTTATATCTAAAGTTAGAAATGTTTATCTGCTCTGTGGCTATAAGCAAATGAAAGCACAGGCCAATATTCACCTATGCCACTACAGGTAGTCCCCCCACTTACAATAGTTCCTTTAGTGATTGTTCAAAGGTGACTTATGACCGTTTTTTCAAACTCATGACCACTGCGGTATCCCTATGGTCACATGATCAAAATTCGGGTGCTTGGCAACTGACTCATATTTATGATGGTTATGCAGTGTCCTAGGAGCACGTGACCCCCCCTTTGCAAACTTTTGACAAGCAAAGTCAACGGGGATGCCAGATTTGCTTAACAGGGTTACTGCAGTGCTTCACTTAACAAACATGGCAGGAAAGGCGGTGAAATGGGACAGAATTCACTTAGCAAATTTTCTCGTTTAGCAACAGAAATTTGGGGTTCACTTGTGGTGATAAGTCAAGGACTACCTTTACGTGAAAGACGCTCTGACTCCCGACCATCAGGTGGGGAGAAATGCATAAAAACCCTTCATTTCTTTTCTTTATGAAGCCCACCGATAAATTAGTGCTTGGGGTTTGATTTAGGGGCGGAGAAAGAGAGGGCGGGAGGGAGGTGGTTAAATAGAGCTACCAATGCAAAACAATGAAAAAGAAAATGAAGGGATGAACCTTTGCATATGTTAACCCATAGGCATAGCTACAGATTGAGAAATAATTGTTCTCATTTGCACAGGAGTGCAGTACATCCCAATATCACAGAGAAGGTAGTAAGCAGGTGATAAGTTTGCTTCCTCTGTGTGTGATCCAGGTGTTGATCTGCTGATGTATGATTTCAATGTTCCTGGTCTCATTTCTGATGATTTTCCATTTTATAACTTAGATGAACATTTATTTTGCTTTTTAAAAAAACAGTCTTATTTAACCATATGGCAGATTCGTGACTTTATTTTTGTTTTTTATAGATTTTGTCTTTCAAGGAGAAGAAGCGTTGGGTGGAACGTGGAATTCTGGAACCATGTTTCTTCCTCCCCCCCCCCAAAAAAAAAAAGAAAGCGAAGAGAGGTTTCTGATCTGTGTTTCTGTCTGCAACAGGGCTGTCCAACTTTGGCACTTTTAAGACTCCTTCATGGCTGGCTGGTGAATTCTGGGAGGTGAAATCCACAAGTCTTAAAGTTGCCAAGGTTGGACACTCCTGGCCTACAATTTCTCCAGAAGTCTTCAGACTTCTTGGCTCTCTGTGTCTCAATTAAATGGGACAGGAAAGCATCAGGATGGATCCATTTTTATTATCAGGAATTGCGCACAGCCAAGGAAGCACTAGATCACTGAGAACAGAGAACAACAATCAAAACCCTGACTTCTAGCCACAATTGAGCAGGGTCCACAGAAATGGGATATTAATTCCCCAGAATAAGGAAGACAAATGAATGCCTCTTTTGCAGAGGAAGAACATGTTTAGGGAATTAACAGAAGAGAATATTTGTACCACAGGGTTGAATTGCATTACTTGAAAGGGTTAAAGATCAACATTCTTAATAGTAAAAGGAAGGAATATAAAGTTGGTTTATTTGATCAAGGTTTAAATAGATCTGTTGTTATTTTTGGTAACCCTTAATGGACTTCTGTTGCTGATCAGGAATGAATGATAAAGCTTAAACCAGTATTTCTCAAGCTTGGCTACTTGAAGATGTCTAGACTTTATTTCCCAGAATTCTGGGAGTTGAAGTCCAGCCATCTTCAAGTAGCCAAGGCTGAGAAACACTGGCTTAAAGGATTTATTTATAGATAAGAGATGAAATTCGGGAAGAAGAGAGAGCATTTGTTGTATTTTAAGAGGGTGATTATTATTTTATTAATAAATAATAGTTGTTAAAAAGGTTTATATTTGTGATGAAGTCATTGCGTTATATGTTTCCTTTTTTCATTACTATACTCTTTTTTTTTCTTCTCTACTTTGTCCTTTTTTCCTGCCCTTTTAAAGGTCTATTTTCTTTGAGTTTGTATTATGTTCATTAAAAGTGTGAATAAAAACATTTTTAAAAAAGGAAGACAGCCTTTGACTTTTTCCTTATCTTCACTTCTTCAGAAGATGATCAGCAAAATTACAGTCAGCGAAATCAAAGCTATCCTTGTAGTACAACACACTTACAGAGGGCACGGATCTCCTGTTAATTTAGCACTTAATTTTACATTCTTGAGTTCGGTCCTTCTTATTCTTCCCCAAATGTGTTGGACTAACAGAGCTTTCATGTGCATTTATCTCGTGAAGTTCTCTGCCAACATATCTTGATGGTTTTCAATGACTTTGACATACTTATGCAATCTGTCTTCTTTTTCTTACTGGCTGTGGAAAGTGTTAGACTTGTTCTTTTTGAGTCTCTTCTTCTACAGCACCTGTCAGGTCTTTTATATTGCCACTATATTTCCTCCTACAGATGATAATTCAATGAGTTGAGGAGACAATTTCCTGACTTAAAAGCATCTCCGTTCCTATGGAACTTGGACCCATACACCAGGTAGGAAAGAGAGAGTTGATAACAGATTCCGCCCTTGAGGACCCAAACCACAGTTTCATTTCTACACAATTTAAAGCAGACTTGGGTAATATTTTCTCTATGAAAGAGACACTTGTATGCACAACAATTAGGTTAGGCTCAGTTGTAATATACCACATGCATCCTGGGGTCAAACTTCATAACCTCTTCTTCAGGCAAAGCCTGAAAAAGTTCATTACTTTTTTATAGTACTAAAGCAGAAAAAAAAAAAAAACCACAAACCATGATTTTTCACTAGAATAGTGCAAACAAACAAGCCAACGTCACTCAAAATTCAAGCCAGAAAAGAACTGGACTGTCAAGAATTCAGTTGACATCAACAGACAGAAATATGCCATCTATAGCATCTGTTCATTCATCATTAAACAGTGGAAAGCCCTCACTTCTAAATGAAAGAATTCAAGATAGAATCAGAGGATCCAGAAAAAGACCCACAGCCCATGTTTATTAATAAAGCCCTGAGGACTTCTAACCCTGAACAATTATTCGAAGATCATGGAGCTTCCTCGTGTTCATTTCAACAGCAAACATGCACCAGGTCTTACCTTGGACGATAAGATGGACTCGTGATGTTTTGGGATGATTGTCTGTCTGTACAGAGCAGGTGTAGGGGCCTTCATCATATATGTCCACATTATGGATCTTGATACTGTATTGAGTTTTGGTGTTTGTGAGAATGACCACCCGGTCATCTATCGACCACTTATCATTTCCAGCATAAAGAATAGTGCTACGGTTCAGCCAAGCTACTCGCGTGACCCGGTCATCCACAGTACACCTAATAAAATAAAGAGAATGAAAAAGATTTGGTTGTTATTGCTTTCTGGCAGGAAAAAAAAAGCACGAATTCCTGATCTCTATTGTTTTTGAATTGCTTAGCCACCCCATCAAAAAATGTCTGCATCCATGCATATATTTTTTTTAAAAAAGAGCAAAATAAAATTATGGCTAAAACTAATCAGATGTTACATTTCCCCCCTTTCATCCCCTGCTGGGATGAAGTTCAACATTCTCAGAACTTGCATTTTTGTTCCTTTTGAATGGAAACCATCTCAGTAAAAAAATGTTTTAAAATGGTTCCACTTATTGATAAATACAATGTTGGTATATAGACGAGGCAAAACTTGAAAGACGCCAACCGAGAATCATGTTCCCAGGTCCCATTTACAAAGTATGGAGAAACTTCTAAGGTCTTTTCAAAAGCTAAATTATCTGGCTCTTTGTGCTAAATCAGATTTAAGGAAGCTTTCTGAATAAGCTGACTTTACATACCTTTTTCATCCCCAATCCATGGTTTCAAAGCATAATGATTGGGTGTAAATATCTTGCTCAGCCCCATGTATTGTACATGCACACATTGAGCCTAACCCTTAAACTATGGTTTATCAACCCTAATAACTGGTTTAGCCAAGACCAATCCAAGCAAATTGTATTAGCATGCTACAATACACCAAGCCTGTATCCATTTATTTCTCAGAATGCAGCCTGTTGTCATTTTCACACAGGGAAAGCATGTTCATCTGTTCTGGAGAACGGCTTTCCAAGTATCAGGGATGAAACACATACTGTGACCTGGAAGAACTTCCTTAATTCACAGTGTGGACCCCTAAACTCAACTGCAGCTCAGCATGGCATTAAATGGCAAGAGAAATTCTGCAAGAAGCCCCAACTACTAATCACAATAAATTCACTATTCATTAGGCAGAATGAAAAGCTGCCCCATGGTTGGCATCTGACGAAGAGTCACACAATAGACTGGTGGATTTTTAATACAAACTCAGTGGAGAAACGTGTGCTGATGCTATAGTGAAGATATACTGTATCTCTCCTGGATATCAAAACGTGTTTCTGGAGTGGCTGAAGTTGCATCAGATCTAAAAAAGCTGTGAGGTTCAGAAGGAAGCCTTCCTTCTATATTGAACAAACATTTACTCAAACCTATTATCTTGCCTTTCTTTAGAGTACTGTGTAAATAGCTCCAGAGACAACAATTGTACAAATTAGATTTCAATTGGACCTCCTTTTTCTGTTGATCTAGTAATAAAGACCGTCCTTATATAGCAAATCTCAAACAGTAACTATTGTTAGCCTGGCCCAGAGATGCTTTTTGACCTAGATGACTGAGAATCTCCATAGACATTGCTAGCCTGGATTTTTCAACCAACAGGCATGTAGCATTTGTAAGTTGGCTGAAAATGACATCATCCTTTTGAGACACATCACCTTTGAGATCTAAGGATTTCTCAGATTACACTTACTTCTTACTTACTTACAATTAGTCTACAATTTACAACCATAACTGGGACTAGAATTTCCATTACTAAGTAAGGCAGTGGTTGAGTAAGTCATGCTTGATTTTACCACCTTTTGCCATGGTCGTTAGGCAAATCACTGCAGCTGTTCACATGGTCTTTAAGTGAATCCAGCTACCCACATTGACTTTGCTTGTGGGAAGCTAGCTGGGAAGGTTACAAATGGTGATCACGTGGACCTAGAACAATGTCAACCATGATAAATAAATTCCGGTTGCCAAGCAGCTGAATTTTGATCACCTGACCTTAGGGATGCTACAATAGTCCTAAGACTGGTTGTAAGTCACTTTTTTCAAGACTGTTGTAAATTTGAACGGTGACTAAATGAATGGTTGTAAATTGAGGTCTACTGTATTTATCCTTTGCAAAGATTTAAAGTCTGTGAGCTATTCCTCTGCTCCCAAGGACCAATTTCTTTCACTCCAGTGTCTTTTTTTTTCCTTCTGTAGACCTAGGCTGCATTAGTAGAGTGATAGAATCAAGATCACATGAAGTGTTAGTACTGCTTTATAATGCCTTGGTAAGGCCACCCTTGGAATATGGCATCCAGTTTTGGTTGCACAATATAAAAAAAGATGTTGAGACTCTGGAAAGAGTGCAGAGAAGAGCAACAAAGATGATTAGAGTGCTGGAGGCTAAAACATACAAAGAATGGTTGCGGGAATTGAGTATGTCTAGTTTAATGAAAAGAAGGACTAGGGGTGACATGATAGCAGTATTCCAGTATTTGAGGGGCTGCCACAAAGAAGAGGGGGTCAACCTATTCTCCAGAGCATCTGAAGGTAAGAGCAACAGATGGAAACTAATCAAGGAGAGAAGCAACCTAGAACTAAGGAGGAATTTCCTGACAGTTAGAACAATTAATCAGTGGAACAACCTGCCTCTAGAAGTTGTGAGTGCTCTGACACCGGAGGCTTAAAATAATAATAATTAAAAAAAGACTGGACAATGGTATAGGGTTTCCTGCTTGAGCAAGAAGTTGGACTAGAAGATCTCCAAGGTCCTTTCCAATTCTGTTATCCACTTTTCTCCTTCCATTCACAAGTTTCTTTTGCACTCCCCTCTGCTGAGTTCCAGAGCAGCTTTCTTTCTATCCATTTTAATCTCGACTTATGATGTGGCTGCCTAAAGTTCTAATATCAGAACCTTCTCTTTATTCAAATTAATACCAGGAGAGCTAAGAACAGTCTAGTTAAGTTGAGCCCGAAGGAGATTGCAGTCTGCTGGGCTATTACTCCTCTCTCAGTTCATTATAATGAATAATAAAGAGATACTTACATGAGTTTTTTGTTAAATTATTCATTATATGGACTGGTAAAATCAAGACAGTAATCTGTAAAACAGACAACGTCCATGTCTGTAATCATCTAAATATTTGGGAGAAAGATTTTCAAGGAACTCACCGCGCCCCTCATTAAAGATGAAGTGTGTGTTTTTGCTGTTTGATGAGACACTATTGTCGTGATTCTTGTTTTGCTTTGTGTAGGGAAAAGGGGTGGAGCATACTAATTTTCTGATGTCTAAATTTTGACTTTGCAATAAGCCAAAATAACATCCCTCCCTCTTCCGAGCCTGCTCGTTTGATATTAGATTGTGATTCAGAAAGCGTACTATTAATGCTGTAAGAAGTAAAATAAATTAGAGCTTCCATTAACACAATCCCAAATGTACTCCCTGCCAAAGACAAAGAAAAACAAATCACGATCCACACACTTTTTTATATTAAAATTTCTTTTTTTATTTGGAAATTTTAGTTAACAATTTTTAATTAGTTTTTTTTTGTTTGTTTTTTTTAGGACTGCGCTGAAAAAACACATAGCCAAACACTATGCTCCAGTAAGAATCTCTCTGGGATTTTGAGACTTGAACATATATCAGAAAAATATCTTCAAGAATCCATCCTTCTAAAACAAAAGATATGGTCCAGGAATCTGAATCTATATCACGGGCTAATTTTTCTATGATTCATGTACCGCTCCTGTTGATTGGCCCAAAGTCACACAGCCGGCTTTCATGTCTAAGGCAGAACTTACAATCTCCTAGTGATT